TCCAATTTAAGACTCTAATGTGAAGAACTCACCAGTCTTACCTCTGAATTAGGGTCCCAAAGACAAGATGAAGAACTTTCTGTATGTTTTCTGTACATAGCCATTGCCACTGTTCCATTAGCAGCAAGAGGAGTAGATCCAGGGCTGTGTCAGCTAACTCTGTCTCTGTTTCTAGGGAACGAAAAAGCATCAATAGTAACTCAGAAGAGACCCACACTTGAGGAACATATTTCAATGCACTGGGTCTTCTCTGCCTTTATCTAATCTTGTATTTTTGTAATCCTTAAGTTCTTAAATCAAGTCAAGAGAGGTTTATTTCATATTTAGTAAGTCCTATGATACACTTTGTTTTCCTTTACAATTCTTTTGCTTCTGTTCCTTAGTCACTTAGCAAATACTTTTTATGTTTGTAAAAGATTCTTGTATGTAATTATTTTGCCTACCTAGCTTCTGCTGCTTTTGTATTTCCTCCAGGGAGCTGAATATATTTTGTTCCAGGTAAAAGCTCACAACTGGTGACTGACTGGAACTGGCAAGGCCCAGTCTGTTCTGTACTTATATTCCACTTGCCTCTACAAAACATCATGGAAATGTTGTAGGCAGCAGATTCAGGAAAAAATTTGAGATTCATTCTCCTATTTAAAAAGTGCTTTGAAAGCATCTCCATTACACAAGACTGTTGGGTTGGGATCCAGGAAGCTTCAGTTTGATTTTGAGATAACATGTGGTTCTAGGAAAAGCACTACACCTTTGGTAAAATGCCATGACAATTACTGATTTCTTTCCTGTTTCAAAAACTGGAATGGTCACAAATGAGCTCACACCCATGCTAAGCTGAAGTCTCCTGAACAGATGTGTTTTATGGATGGAAGCATCTGTTTTCTTACCCTGTTCAGGACGTCCCATGTCACCTCTGATTTGGTTCCTGGAAGACTTTCCCAGGAATACACAATGTTCCATAATGAATCTTAGCTATCTGGTGCTACTGTTGTGATTAGTATTATAATTAATCGACAATAATAATTTGGTTAGTCTAGGACCAATGGGTATTCATCTCCTGATTAGCTTGCCCAAGCCCTCCTCTCTTAAGGGTTCTTTAGAACATGGTTGACTTCAGATTTGAATGAATCTGCTAAAAATGAAACCTTTCTTTTTTAATTCCATCCAACATATAGTTTCTTTTTTTTCTGCGCCCTGTTTCAAAGTTTAATGGAACTGATATGTTTGCTTTCTAGTAATCTGCTCAAAGATGGGATATTCAGTTCTTTGGGAAATAGCATCATCCTAAGTCTTACCCTCCCTCCCCAGTTGTATTTTCTCAGGATTAGCATTTACAGAGAGCTGCCACCATGTGGTGACAATCAGTCATAACAATAAAAAATAACAGTACAAACCATCAAGTCCTCTTTAAGAAAATGGGAAATTTTCTATCAATGAGCATTTTGAGTCTCTTAGGGCCAGAGGAAAGTCTCGGGCATAAACTATTCCCTTAGAGATATGATGTTCAAAATTTACAGGCTTGATTTGGCCTAAAATTATACTGTTTTATCCATTCCCTCTTATTTATAATTCCTTAACAGCTTTCTGATGCTTTTGGTGTCAAAACACTTTATTTACTTAACAAATGAGATATATATAAAAAGATAGGGTTCTGAACTCCATTTTTCACATAGTTAAGCTGAGGTCTACAGAGCAAAGGTCAGGTGACTGACTATTCATGGGCACCTGAGAAATAATAATGAAATCAGCCTTTTTATTTTCCATCTGAACTCAAGATTTTGTGATTTTTATTTTCAGCAGAAGCCTCTGTCTTAGTGGAAGTGAAAATTTCTCTTATAAATTCTGGTTCTGCAAACATACTAATATCCAGGGTTCCCAATTTTTTCTTTGCATTCTCTGGGAAACAAATCTGCCCTGCCTCAAATGCTTATAGGGAGACAGCAGTGTCATCACCCCTTCTCTCTTCCTGCTCTACGTTAGATGACTAGGTGGTGTCATTTGCATGACAATAAGTAAAACAGAAGGAACAGATCCAGGGAAAAAGAGGAATTTCATTTAACACATGCTGTATTTCAGTTACCCTATGGAGATTTCTAGTAGGCAGTTGGAAATACAATATCTAACATTAGGTAGCAGAGCACATGTGTTAGAGTTGAAGCCAAGAGTACGAATGAGACCACCCAGAGGAAGTGTGTGGAGTAATAACAGAGAACCAAAAGTAAAGCTCTAGAAGGCTAATAATGGAGCCAACAAAAGGAATGAGAAGGGAAAGTGGAACTACAGGAATATAGGAAATAGATCAAGGGAATTGTTCAAAGATATGCTAAAGCATGCCAAAAAAAACTTCAATAAGATATTATAAGCATGAATCTTATCTTGCTGGATTTGAACTCCATTTCTGTGCCCTGTTCTGCTTTGACTCACCTCTGAGGACTGTGTCATATTCCTCTTTGCATCCCAGCACTCAGCACAGAACCTCAAATACTGGTGTTTAACACATGGCCTGCTTAGCTGAATTGAAATTAAAGTGATGAATCCCAACTATCATTAAGTCTCAAGTGGACTATACCCTGGCTCCCTTTTCTGTGGGAGCAGAGATCTTGTCACTTACCTGGATCACTGTTGCTAAGGTCTGGGGCAGGCACAGCTGTATCTGACAAGGAGCCATCTACACATCCTTTGCGGATATGTTCAGGATCTTTTTCTGGGACTTCTGCTGGCTGCATTTCCAGTAATTTTGTCTGTTTTTCAATAAAAGATTCCATCCCAGACATGGATAAGATCTCTGACTCCTGAAAAAAGTTAGCTGCATATTACATAAAGAATGCAGAAAGTAGGGGAGCAACCTAAGCGCTTAAGATTTTCCTTGCAAAGTATCATGAGTCTAGAACCCGAATGACTCTGTGACCAGCTTAAGAAAGTTTTTATTTTTTTACTGAAATTGCAAGTAAAACAACACCTTTGTATTTTCACCTGCTGTGAACACTTCTGTGTTATCTGTTCTCTTCCAGAGACTGGTTTTCTTTCTCATGCTATCATCCATTATTGCATACCATGACCTTTGAGAAGCCAAACTACCAATTCAGAATGGGTAAGGATCCCAAACCACTCAGAGGAAATACTTTTGGAATAAAAATGAGAGATCCACATTGTTAGTAAGTCCTTTAGCAAAGCACCTAAGCCTTTTCTGACTGAAGAAAATGTCTCAAGTGCCTCTAACTGTAGGATCAACATCCCAGCTATTAAATCTAGGAGTTCTCTAGGAACTTACCACATTGTCTTCCTGAAGACAATAGAGAATTTTCTCATGTACTTCAGTCATATTCAGTGCTGGAGCAATTTTACTGGATGAGAACCTCAGTCTGGACCTGGTACAGTAACAAAGAGTAGAAAGAGAATGTAATTCATGATCTTGATCCCAATATAAAGGGCTGACAAGTATTCATATCTCAAAACAAGAACTTATTCTGGGAGTTTACTGTGGTCAGAGCTGCCAGAAGAGACCTGGTCCTGAAATCCCCCAGACGATAATATTCTGGCAATTCTTAATATATAGTGCAACTCTTGCATAAGCTATGTTTACATTGCATTTGTGAAAGGGCTTTTGCTAATATAAAATAGGGATCCGTCTGTCATGGTTGTATTCCCACAGGCTAGAAGAGTAGCTAGCACATGCTACACACGCATTACAAATGTGCTGAAGATTAAATAGACAAGTGTTTAGACTAATTTTTTATTGTTGTTCTCACTACCCTTTTTCTATATCCACTTATTCCTCTTGTGTTCCAAATAAAACTAGGGAAGAGACCACAAGTGCTAATCTCAGGGTTTCAAGGAATAGGGTTCTTATAAGTATAGGCCCATGGTTACCCTTCAAAGTATGGGCTCAGTAAAAAAAAAGGCTAAAATTGTGTTATTGCTAACCTGTGAAACACAAATGTAGAGACAAAGACAGTCAGACAGACTGACAGACAGACACCCTCCGAAAAGGCTAAGAATGGTAGGTCTGTTATGGCTAGTTAATGAACATAACACAGACGGTCGGTCAGCCAAATAAACACAAACACAGATACACAGATACAAAGACTGTCCCTCTCTCCCCACATTCTCCCTCTTTCTATAATGGCCCAGATACAGATATGAAATTTCTAGTAAGGGTAAGTATGGTGCCATTCCACATGGTGGCTTTGAGTACTGCCAAGGAACATCTGGGCCTCTGGTGCAGGAGAGGAGCAGTAATAACCAGATACAAAAATGTGCCCTGCAGGTGTCTATTCTGGCTCTTTCCCATTTATTGCTAGTATATGAGACCTCTAAGCCAAATTTCCAGAAATGATGGCAAATAGAAATCAGTTATAAGACTTAATTTTAATAGGAGAGAAACATCTCAATTTTCCAGAAAAACAGAAAAGGAGAATATACATATTCTAGAGTTCTCCTTCTAGCCAAAAATCCCTGGTCATTTGGGACCTGGGTTCCCATGGCAAGACAAACATTCAGCAGGGCTGCTTATGCCGGATCTCAGGCTTCTTTTAATTGACACTGAAGAGTCTGAGGTCTGGCTTTTCATAAAAACTGGTATGTCTGACCTGTCTCCTTTCTTCTAGGGCTTGAGAGTTGGACATGGGCTTTGGCTGAGAACTGGGGATCAACCTGAAAAGTGGGAAAGGGTCCCCGGGCAACTGAAGGGCTTCTCACTTGCTAGCCTTCTTGCCTTCTGTCTGGGGCTTGCTTTCTGTCTCGGCTTCACTCAGCTCCTCTGTGGGGCTCTGGGGTTCAGAGCGAGGAAATGCTGTCTTCAAGGTGTCCACGATAGCACTCACCACCATCTGCAGGAGTCAGAAAGAAACCACCGAATAAGTAGTTTTCTCACAGTGCTTTATGCAATCAGGACGGGTAGATAGCTATGTCTAATGGAGCCTTATCCATTAGCATAGTCAGATACCAGGCTAATGACTAGCTGAGATAAGGCCAGAACAAGAGCGTAAGAGTAAAGACTAGGGCATACCAAACCAGGGAAAGGACACAGAAGGTGGCATGAATGTGTATAATGTATCTTAGAAAATATAACTTGCTCTCTAGGCTCATGACATTGTAGTCTGTGGGGAGGGTACTTATCTCAATTGTTCATTGTTGTATCATGAGAAACTGGCACAGTATGTGGCTTTAAACAGACAAATAGTAAGTAGACGCTGAAAGAATCAATGAATGAACACATCTGCATAAAACTGGGGATTTTACCTTGTTCATTCCTTGCCAGTTTGCAGTTCTTTCTTCATAGCAGTGAATGTCTCCTAACTCCTACCACATGAAATTCCACTATCATTTTATCACCTTAAGTCTAGATGAGAAGAGGGAGGCCCCTCTTCTGCAAAAGAGTCAGTACTTTCTAACCTTTTAAAACATATGCCATCTTTTGATAAACATACACCTAAGACATCTGCTCCGGGGACTATAAATTGTAGGCTGCAATGTGTTACACAAATGTCTTCCCACCATCTCCAAAGGTCCTGAGATACTCTCTTGAAGGTACAAGTCTCCCCACACTGTTTGCCAACAGAAAATTACTGTATTGATCTGAGTCCAACTTAGTGTCCTATCTAAGCTTAGGGCTCTTTCTCCTGAGTGGTCAATACTGAGAATGACCTTCACCTCCAAAAGAGACTTTTCTGCCCCTACCTGTCTATGGAGGTATAGATCTATCCTTACATCCCTCCACTAGAATAACTATGTCATGATATCCCCAGGAGATATGTGCACACTTATAGTGTCAGGGGTATTGTATCCTCATAGTTGCTCACTGTAATTGAGCAAGTTGATAATCCAACCAGTATCTGAGAACAAGTCTTGTAAATTCTAGTCCGTGTTCTACTGACTCCTCTGTGCTGCCTCCTGCCACCCCTACTTCCCTTATTTTTCAAGCACTGCCTCCACTATGATGAGAAACTAAGGCTGAGCACAGTGGCCCTGCTGGTACCTTGTCTATTCTGGAGACCATGAACGGTTTCTTGACAAAGGCAATACGAGCATCTGTGTTCAGAGCAAGGAACTCCTGCATTTCCTCACTGTTAGCAATCTCAGGAATGGCACAGAGTTGCTGCAAAAGACACAAGAAAGACTTCAGAGAGAAATTCCAGCCCCCAGATCTCTCTACCTTGGCTTGGATGTTTGGTAGCTACAATGTGAGCAAAGCCAAATCAGAAGGGTGCTGACCTTTAGGAATGATTCCAGGAGGCTCTTACGGGCTTCTACTCTGTCACTATCCATGTTTCCAAATGGAAGATCTGGAAAGAGCTTTTTAGGACCCTTCACATCTTTAAAAACAAAAGGTTCATTCACTTAACATTCATCGAGAGCTATTCCATATCATATATGTAAAACAAACAAAAAAACTGTTGAATATATGTCCCTAGGATTTTTTAATTTCAGGAGTTCCAAACATACTCCAGGAATCTAATACAAACAACTTACTTTCATGGTTAATGTTAATATTAAGATGTAAGAGGCTATACATTAGAATGATTACAAACTAGGACCATGAAGTCCAATTGCTCAAGTTTAAATTTCGTCTCAAATTCCTCCTATGTAACAATTGTCGTCAAGTTGCTTAATCTTTGACTTTGTTTCTTTTCTGTAAAATAGGGATACTGATAGTATTTATCTCACAAGCTATTATGAGAATTAAATGAGCTAATATGTGTAAAGTGCTAGAAGACAACCTGGCATATATTTTCAAGCTTGGTTCAATATTATTATTACTAAGAAAGAAAATGTATAACTGAAATCCACAATTTATGCCTAAACTTATTAAATTGTTTATTTGGGTGACCATCAGCTCCCCCCTTTTTTTTTCAAAAAACAAAGTAGTTGTTTCCTAGCTGATTTTTAGAGTTAAATTTTATTACATGTTCTTATTGTCCCTGTGCCATATAGCACACACTAAAAAGCCTGGTTGTTAAAGAAAAGTTGGCAAGGAATTCTGGATAGTATTTTAACATTTAAGAGCAATCAATCTATGAATCTGAAAAGTTAATTTAACTCCTTATGCTACCTCACAAAGGTGGAAATGTGATCTTCTTTCTTAAGCTCAAACTAACTGGGACCCCAGAACAAAGCATTCAGCAAAAGAGTACAGAAAGAATGTGAACATTGCTGTCCAGCACTAAAACCCAAAACACCTGTATGCAAACTGGGGTAGGGGGAGCACAAGGGACCCTTGATACTGTATTCTCTTCCTCCATCCTTCCCCACAAATAGGCCACCAGCCTCTGAGATCAGGGTGGCTAGATGTAAAAAGCAAGCAGACAGTCCAAGGTCGGGGAAACTCCTAACTTTTGATGAACTTTCGTAGATCTGATTTCTCTTCCAGACGAGTCTGCAGATTCAGGAACTCACGGTAGCGGCGATTCACAGTGTGGTAGGCCAATTGCTGCAGGCTGCTGTTGCTCTCACTGTCAAGGGCTGTCTCATACTGTTGAATGAACAGATTTGTTTACTGCATCAACTCAATGGCCACACAGTAAGAGGAGAGTGGGGGTAAAGGAAGGGAGATGTTTTTATTCTGTTCCGAGACCTACTAGATCTGATTGCTGCCCTAAGTTGTAAGGAACAACTCAAATTCCAAGGCTGGTTGAATTAAGGAATCAGATGCATTTCCCAAAATACATGGCCCAGAAAGTGAAAAATGAGTTTTACTGCTCTCCACTCCTTCCATCTCAAAGCTCCCTCCTGCAAACGCTTTATTTTCACTTATAAAAATGGCTACATAACTATTTTTCAAATCCCAAAGATAAGGCATAAAACATAAGGTAAAACACTGATGAAAATGGAGTTATAAGAGCTAAACATTTTGCCATAATATTCAACGTGTCATTATTTATATTAGTTGAGGAAAGAACGAATGATTCTAAACAGCTGATGAACAAAAATAATTTGTTTGCCTGGACTGCATTAAAGGGATATTCGTTCTTATTTTGCTGGGGAAAGATTATTATTCTTGGAGTTAAACTGAATTTTTTTTTCCTGAGTACACAGCACCTATATGATTAGAAGTTATGTGAAGATTAGAGATTTTGTAAGGGGTCAAAGTTTGCTGTCTTCATATGCTTGCAGGGCCAGTATGTAGGACAGACAACCTGTACTATATGCTTCCCCAGAGCCAACAACACAAACAACATGAAAGCTATAGCTTAGTACAGGGGAAGACTTTTTGACTGAGTAGTTAAAATACAAAGAAATGCTGTAGAAAAACTATATATGTACTTGTTTTCATTAGGTACCAGTTACTGTTGTTTGGTTGAGGTATTATATTGTGGGCAAGTGATAGAAGAAACAATCTCCTAGTAGGTGGGACTTGAGGCTGGTGTTTTAAAGTTTTCTAGAGTCAGAGAGAAAAAGAAGTATTCATTATAATCTGACATGAGCAAAGTAGTCCCTAATACCAGTTAAAGGCCTAGGTAAGAGACACAGGTAGAATTCTGGGTAGGGCTCTCAAACTTGGAGTTATAATGCTTTCTGTGGAAGATTCTATTCCCTGAGGACCACTATTCAGTAGTGATACATTTCCAAACCTGGCTGCACCTCAAAATCACTTGGTTTGCTTTTTAAATATATAGATCCTGATGGTCTCTGATGGATTCTAAATGAGTTTCCAAAACTGGGTCCCAAGATTTTTTAAAAATACAACTTTTCAGGAGATTTGAAGGCAGCCTATCCTAAATCCTATTTTAGGGAACTGCTGCTCTAACCGAAGTAACCATCTGATACATGAACCCCTTTTATATCATTTCTACAAAGTAGTTCCCGTTTCTGTGCTTAAACATCTCTAGGAAAGAGCAACTTGCTGTCTTCTGTGTTATATACAGGTAGATAACTTTCCTTCCTAAAACAAAGTAAAAATTATACTATTTTTTGATAAGATAGTATTTTGAAAAAAATTAAAAGGGAAGAAGTTTGGAAAGAGAATTTCTGGACAAAGCTCTATACTTTGGGAACAACTGAAAAGTATGACCCTCAGTATCCTAATAACCCCGAGATTCTAGGATTGTTTGAGTACTGCATACAAGCCTACTCTGCTTTACAAATGAGCTTCTAACACTCATCGCAAACTAAGAGTAGCTTCTTTCCCTTAGAAAACTAGCTTCACTAATTTTGTTTTCCAAATCCATTCTAAACCCAGAGTGACCAGTTCTAATCCCATTACCTTCACCGTGTAGAGAGTATATGGGTGGAATCCAGTGCCACTGTGCTCTCGAGCTGTAATGGTGCCAGTGATCCGCAGGTTCTGGATGACAACTGGGCCATCTGGACTGCTCAGGGGCTCAAAGCTGAAGGTGGCTGAGCTGAGAGGACCGGATGGAGAAGAGGAAAGCAGACTAGAATCTAGGGAGTTGACACTATTGGTAAGATCCTTCTGTAAGCATGACGGTCGTGGTGGGCAGGTCTTTACTGGACTCTCTAGAAAAGTTGTATAAGATGTGACATCTCCTTGCTCTCCCTCCTTGTCTGCTGTGTCAATCTGGATCTCTGGGCAGGTATTCAGCACGGAGACCAGCAGGCCTGTCTCTGTTTGTGTTCCTGGAACTTCCTCAGTCCCTTCAGATCCCTCACCATCCTTACATTCCAGAGACTGGGAACCCTCTATGGAACACAGGGCATCCTGGATCCTGTCAGAGAGGAAGTTGCCTGGGGCCATGAGCATGATGGTTTCTTTGCCCAGTTCAGACAATGGAGACTCCAGCTCTGTGTCTTCACATAAGAACAGAGGGCCTCGGATATCTGGCTGTAGGAAATGAGATGAGTTGTTTCTTGCTTTTCTTTCTTCTGGCACTGCACCTAAATCTCCCTCTATAGCTTCGTGGCTTTCTTCAACTTCTGGGGAGGGGCGTGAAGGTCCCTCTGGCTCATTACAATTTAGGAGCACTGGGGCTGCTGCTGGAGAAGGGGCTCTCACTTCTGGCAGACTCTGTACCTCAATGATCAGTGGCAGAGATGTGGGCACTGAGGGCTGTTCCAAGGCACTGGCTGGGCAGAGTGGTTTAACCACTCCTGCTGGATTATTTCGGGCCTTGGAAAAGATGCCCACCAGTACAAGGTGGATCCAGTCAGGATCTGACAGCTTGTGGATCAGTGGTAAGATCACATTGCAAGTGATGAGTTCCACCACTACATGGCGTCCTGTCCGGGTCTCCAAGTGGGGCTTTGGCACTAGTCCTTGAAGCAACAAATTCACAATGCCCCGTGTATAGGCGACCTCAGCACTGGTGCTTTGTACAGCAGGATGTGGGGCAGCAGCCCGGCAGTAAGCCTCCCAGAGTTGGGAGGGCTCTACTGTACCACTCTGCTTCCTCGCTGTGGCCTTTGCCTGAATAAAGTTCTGCAGGTGACAGCCACAGAGAGTCAGAACCCTTTGGGCAAGAGCATGACTGTCCACCATGCCCATCCTCCTCCGCAGCTCGTGGGCCAACCCTCTCATGGCAACCTCCATTTCTTCCTCAAAGGCTGGCTCCTGGCTCACTGAGCGGTACCAGGATGACACAAAGTCCCGAATAATCATTTGGATGGTGCGGTTGATCTCCTGTTCCAGTTGCCTCTCTGCCTCGGGGTTTGGAGGGCAGATGACCATTGGGATGAAGCGTTCCAGGTGCAGTCGACCTGAAGCCCCCACAATGGCGTTTGGGCCCAGCCATCCTCCCAGCACTACCAGTAATGCAGACAGAAGGCAGAGAAGCCACACATTGACTAGAAAGTGGATGAACAGGAGCCAGCCCAACAGAAGCCCCACAGCCATCAGCTTTCGGCTACTCAGCAGGTTACTGAAGCCACAGGTGGACATAGCTGGGGTCTCCTGTAACGAGGACACTACCTCTGCTTTCATGGCTAAAAGAACCAAGGGGCTGCCCCAGGCGACCGCCCTCTTTCTATTTTACTTCGGAGTTGGAGAATGGGGCAAAACTACGTTCCAGATACAAGGAAATATGAGGTGCTACCTGGGGTCCCGGCCGCGGCTCTGGGCCCTGGATGTCTTACAGGCACCGCAAAGCGATAGCGGTAGCTCTGCTTCTCGCGCTCGCTCCGGCCCCTTCCGGTAGACATGCTGCTCTCGAGGAAAATTCCGAGGCCTTCATAATGCCGGGATCCGAGAGCCACTTCGCAGCTTCAGGAGGGCGGTGCTGAACCTTAGGGTCCCCCTCCCCGAACACTTACAGACGCCGAGGACGGGGCCGGACGAGACAGGGTTACACACGGCCGGGCGTGCCCTGGGCTCAACGGTGTCTCCTCTGCCGGCCTCGGAGAAGCTCTCCGCCGGGCTGCGACGGCCCGGGCGAGCGACTGCGCACCGCAGCCTAGATTCTATCAGGGCTGCCGGCCGGCCGGCAGCCGCCGACTACCA